CCCCAAAACCCCAAAACCCCAAAACCCCAAAACCCCAAAACCCCATCATTTATAAAAATAGTTGAATTTTAGAAGAAAATGTAAGTTTTAAGCTAATTTTGATAATTTTTATATCAAATTTTAGTAGAAGAAAAGCATGGAAATTGAAGTTATTGACCTCGGAGCTCGACATGGACATACTCAGAAGACTTTGCTGCATATGCTGGTGGATGCTGAAAATGAAGAGGATTTGAGCAAGGTTCTTGAGAACTGTCTGCAATCAAAGTAAGCCCATAATTTTTTATAGAATTAGTCAGCAGGAGTCAAAGGAAGTTTTACCGCAATATAAAGACGTACAATACATTAACCTTGATATTAATGCACAGGATCTCAATGGTTTCACACCTCTAATCTCAGTCATTGTGTGTTCGCATATTTTTTCAGTGAAGGTTATCAAACTTATGGTGAAACTAGGAGCTGACCCCTTTCTTAAAAGTAATGATGGTAGAAATGCTTTTCATTGGGCTACCAGAATTGGCGAGAAACCTGTATTAGAAACTTTAGTCTCCTGTATCCCTTCTTCTGATGTCACTAGGATGCTAAATATCCCAGTAGAAGATGGCTATGAGCTCAAGCCAATTCATATTGCAGCAAGATTTGACAACCTTGCTCTTTTTGAGTATATTATGGAGTTAGAACAGAAGTGCAGTAAAACTTGTTTGCATACAACATATCTTAGATCGAAGGATCCTAATAAGGACTTTATTAAAGTCTGTCCACTGTGCTTTGAGGATAACAATATTTATAGTCCCAATTCCAAAGGAGACTCTTTGTTACACATCATTGTGAGGTTTGGTGCTATTAAAGTATTTCACTGCCTTCTGGTTAAATTGATGGATATTCTCACAAAATGAAAGAAATCTCTTGGACCAATAGATTACAAACAGGAGGGCTTGACTAAAGAATACACTAATCCTGATGAAATTGACGAAGAACCTCCTGCCCCTGAGTTCTCACAGAAATTCTTAGAATACATGGGTATTGATGGAGATTATGTCTCTACAGATGAAATCTATCAAGAAGATACTCAAGAAGAAAAGAAGAAATCACCCGACAAAATCTATAAATGAGCTAAGGAAATTCCAGTATTAAGTAAGGATGCATCAATAAATGAGTTCACAGATTGTGAGCTGGCTCTAATGAGAAAGACTATTCTCAAAATTTTGTCCCATAAGAACAACAAAGGAGATACGATAATTGTAGAAGCTATTAAGAGCAACCAAGAAGAATTGCTATTGAGCATCCGAATGTCAAATCTTGTCAGGCAAGATCCAATAAGAGAGAGGGAAGTTTGCCTCGGAGCCTTCTTCGATAAGTATGAAAAGATATTAGTCAAAATTGAGAATAGGAAAAGGAAGAAGAGAAAATGAGTGTTTTGGGAAAATGATGAAGATGATGAGCCTGAAGAAAGTATCTCGCTAGATAAAATGTAAATTCTCATACACACTCGAATCTAACTTTACCTATAGAAATAAAGACTTGTCAGAGGAAAGAAAGAGGTTAGAGCTAAAGTCAATTGCTCTTTTTATCTTCCTGTTTGTTGTATTCCTCTGAATCTCTCTATTCTGCTCCTATGTTTTCCTTAGCATAAATTATGCAGGAACCAGTTAAAATATCTAATAAAATGACTAGTGAGTTTTCAAGATACTTATATATTGAAGGGGTTTTGGGGTTTTGGGGTTTTGGGGTTTTGGGG